TTTATTTAAGAGGCAGAGAATCAGAATAAATACCCATCTGCTGGTTTCCTGTCCTAATACCAGTGAAGAGCAGGGCTGGACTGAGGCCAGGAGATGGGAATTCAGTCCAGGTGTCGCAGGTGTGTGGCAGGAACTGTCACTTGAATTGTCACCACTCCCTTCTGGTGTCTGCACTAGCAGGAAGCTAGAAACAGGAGCTGCAAGTACAGCACTCGAATGTGGGGCAGCTCCCTTCTGGTGTCTGGCCCAGTGTGGGGGAGCTGCCCCAGTGACTGGCCCAGTGTGGGGTCAGCTCCCCCAGTGACTGCCCCAGTGTGGGGGAGCTGCCCCAGTGACTGCCCCAAGGTGGGGTCAGCTCTCCCAGTGACTGGCCCAGTGTGGGGTCAGCTCCCCCAGTGTTTGCTCCAGTGTGGGGGAGCTGCCCCAGTGACTGGCCCAGTGTGGGGTCAGCTCTCCCAGTGACTGGCCCAGTGTGGGGTCAGCTCTCCCAGTGACTGGCCCAGTGTGGGGTCAGCTCCCCCAGTGACTGCCCCAGTGTGGGGCAGCTCCCCCAGTGACTGGCCCAGTGTGGGGTCAGCTCCCCCAGTGACTGCCCCAGTGTGGGGTCAGCTCCCCCAGTGACTGCCCCAGTGTGGGGCAGCTCCCCCAGTGTCTGCCCCAGTGTGGCGTCAGCTGCCCCAGTGACTGGCCCAGTGTGGGGGAGCTGCCCCAGTGACTGCCCCATTGTGGGGTCAGCTGCCCCAGTGACTGGCCCAGTGTGGGGGAGCTCCCCCAGTGTCTGCCCCAGTGTGGCGTCAGCTGCCCCAGTGACTGCCCCAGTGTGGGGGAGCTCCCCCAGTGTCTGCCCTCCAGCAGATCCCGCAGAACAGATCTGGTGGTGAGATCCCCAAGCCTTGTGAAGCTGGGAATCCTTCACTCTTCCCTAACTAAACATACAGCTTTGAGGGCAACAGTGGTCTTGGTTGGCAGTTTTCTTCTTTCACTACATATGCCACTTTGTCCTGGCCTAGGAGATTCCTATATTCTGGCAAGTAGGAATTCTGTTAGGTGTGGTTTGTATTTGCTGGCAGTTTTGAACGAATTTCTATTTAGAAGGGTTCCATAAAGCTTTTTCTTTAAATGTCTTTAGAGGAAATCATCCATTTCTCTGAAATCAGTCACCAAACACTGGAGGTGACAGATGTGCCTTTGGTGAGACTGGTGATGACGGTAAATGAATGACAGCAGCTTACTGTTGGACTTGGCGCTGTGGCATGGTGGGTGAAGCTGGCGCCTGCGAGGCCAGTATCCCATATGGGTGCCAGTTTGCGTCCCAGCTGCTGCACTTGGAATCCAGCTCCCAGCTGACACATCTGGAAAAGCAGTGGGAGGTAGTTCGAATGCTTGGACGCCAGCACCCATGTGGGAAAGCTGGATGAAGCTCCAGGCTTGGCGTGTCCCAGCGCCAGCCCTGGGAGCCATTTGAGAAGCAAAGCAACAGAGGGGAGCTCTGTCCTATCCCCCTACCCTGTCTGTTTCTCTAACTCTGCCTTTCAAAATAATAAATCTTAAAATGAGCAATACAAATCCCTGATCCTGTCTGGAGGACGAAGGTTTCTATCAGATCTGGCAGTGACCGGTAAACATAACAGTGTCAGTTATCAGTACAGACGAGAGGTTCAAGGGGTTGAAATTCAAGGGAAAAGATAAAGAAGTAAAAGCCTGGGGTCCTTTGCACATTAAAAAAAATTGTGAATTTGAAAAAGTTTGAAAGAGAAGGGAAGATCTTCCATCTGTCAGGTCATGCCCCACTCGCCAACACAGGCAGTGCTGAGCCAGGACAAAGCCGGTAGCTTCCTCCAGGTTTCCCATATGGGGGCAGGGGCCTGCGCAATTTGGGCCATCTTTTGCTTTTCCTGGGTCATTGGCAGGAAGCTGTATCTGAAATATGGCAGCCAGAACACAAACGTAGCACCCATATGGATACTGGCATCATGGATGGAAGCCAGGCCTGCAACGCCACAAATGCTGGCCCTGTATTTCTACGATTTCTATGATGCAGCTGCGTAGCACACACTCAGTAGCCTTTTCCACATCACACTGAGCAGTAATGAATTCTGTGCCATTCCATCAACAGTGCTGTGGGCTCATCTTTCCCTGTCGTTGCCTAGACTATGTACCGGAGTGTTGCTACTCCATCCTGGTGGACTTGGGGGTGCAGGCTCCAGGCACTCTGGGGCTGCTGCCCAGGAAATGCTGTCACCCCAGTGGGCAATAGTTATTAGAAATACAAAAAAAACCTTGGGATGTAACAGTGTCTTGACTATCCTTTGTGGAAAAGCTGGGCTGAGTGGGAATTTACTACCCTCTCCCCATCTTGAATTTCCAGCTCTGTATCATGAAATCATTCATTGGCAAACTATTTAGCTACATCTCACGGGCCCAAGAGTGGAGTGCCGTGACAGGAGGGCCCCAGTGGACCTGGCTTTGAGTCCTGCCTGACTGTATGCCCTAGTGGACCAGAGTCGTCTTCTGTCACTGAGGGTAATGTCTTCTTAAATGGGCTGGTGTGAGGATTAAATGAGGTGATATTTATGGGTATACCACAGTGCCTGGCACCCACTAAACACAAAAGCATGTCAGCTTCTGCTGTTGTATTGCAAAGATGCTGCTCGTTCTCTGCCACCTACTTCACCTTAGGGTCTGAACTGTATTATCTTTGTTAAAAGAAATGGCTGAAGGACGCACTGTGTGATTCTGTGTATGTACGGGCAGTCACGGGCACAGGGATCAAGTTGGATATGTTATGTCCAGATGGTTACTTGCCATTTGTCTGCCGATGAAAACCTGGCCGTCGGTTTCCATTGCCTTTTCTTATGTGTTTCCTCCTTCCCCCATCCTTCCCCTTCCCCCGTCTTTGTTTTGCCAAAGTGTTGCTAGAATGCTTTCAAGGGGTCAAATACACATATAGGGTCGTTTTCTCCTAGTTGGTTTCCTAGATAAATCTTTGCAAGTCCATTTATGAAGACCAGGACAGTTGATTGTCACAACCTCATGGTGGTGAGGGTGCCATCTGTTTGACAGGAGCCAGTGTCTTAACACACAAACAGGAAAAACCGGGAATTAGTGACTAGCTTCCTGCTGTCAGTGAAGGTATCTCTGAAGCGCGCGATGGACTTTTACAGTTACCTCATTGCAGAAACAACTGCTCGCCTAAGTCAAGAACTTCACAGCTTCCAGAGATGAACAGATACTTTTATTTATAAAACTTATAAAATAATTAAATATTACACATATATTTTGACCTTTCTATAATCCATGGTTTTTATTCAACATTTTTCCCTAGAATTAATATCATTTAGAAGCAAGTGGAAACACATAGGGATAGGCTATTAATAAATTAATTTTTCCATAAAATAAAAGGATAATTATATAAAGAAACAAATAGCTTGTTATTTTTCCGAGGGCGAAGAGGGTGATGGAATGGAACCATTTTCTTTCTCTGATGATAAAACCTTCAGTACTTGAGGCCAAGCCACAAAAAACTGAGCGAAGTGCCTAACCATTCTGTCTCAGCCATGTGTGGACTCATGAGTTTAATCAGAAGAGGGAAAAAGGATGCTGTTAGGTTTAACCTCCGTCTGGTCGGTGATGCTGAGCTGGCTAAGCCTGGTTTGAACTGGGCTTTTTTGAAGCAGTAAAATTGGGTCACATTCTTCAAAGAGGTTGAGGAATGGAGCAGAATTATGTCAATATGCTCTTTATAAGCACTTCTCAAATAGTCACAGAAGGATCCAGTCTTGTAAGTGACTTTGGTTTTGGCAAAAATAGCGTGGTGTTTTTCCAGTTGAGAACAATTTAAAACTCGTTAATGCCTACCAACAGCTGGCTTCTGCTGACTGAAATTTCATCTGAAAGACTAAACTTCTCTCATTCACTGAAGGGCTCCTGGCGTATTATGATTCATTAGTATTAGTGCAGTAAGAAGACAGATTTCTATTGCCATTTTTTCCTCCTGTTCCCTGAAGAGTAGGCCAAGTTCAGGCGTGTCAGTTGGTATGGAAGAGACACAGCAGGCTTTTATTTAGCAAAGCAGCTCAGACAATCCAGGAGGGGCATTTGAAACGATGGGGTCCACGCCTTCTGCTGTTTTGCCTTTGGGCTATTAGACAGGAAGTTTGCACCAATTCTCATTCCCCAAGAGCGGCCAGTGGCCTCCCAAGTACTTGCTCAACGAGCACCCAAAGAAGTCACAAGGTTGAGAACATGGGAGGGGCTTATCCACTCGTGCGTCTCCTCTCTTCCCCTGGCCAAGTGTGAGTTTCAGTTGCTTGGAGATCTTAAATATTCCATGTTGCCTTATTGCAGGCTATTCCTCAGAACACATTTCAAGTCATTAATTTTAGTCTTGGAGACTCTAAGCAGAATATATTTTAAAGAAAATAATAAACAACACACACTAAATAACCCTAACAGGAAGCTTGCCAGTCCAGCAGCAAGCGCAACTGTGAGCACCGTTGGTCTTGTTGTGTGGGACTCCCGGCTGGGCTGCGGGCCATTTGGCTTCTGCAACCCAGAGGGGCACCATGATCCAGCCCTGTGTCCTTCCCCTCAAGTCTTCAAGGACCTTCATACGACAGAATCCTTGAAATTCAAAGGGTGTGGTGAGCTGTGAGTCTCTATAATGGTATTTTGTTTAAATCCGACATGAGCCATTACCTCTTTTATGACAGTGCAAATCAAAATCTATTTTTTGTAAGTCAGATATGTCATCGCTTCCATTTTTCAAGTGCTTCCGAGTACCACATGCTTTGGGGGACTGAGTAAGGAACGGGGGGGGGGGGCGGGGGTCACAACCTGTGTGTTCCTCTGAGCTGGGCTGGGCTGCGGGGTTCAGCTGCAGCTCTGTCTCAAAGTGGAAAGAGAAGGCTCCGGCTCAGGGGGGCTTGGGGCAAGACGACGCTCAGCTCTTCCTTGTGCATGACTTGCAGCACTGTTGACCATAGAATTTGTGGTTGCAGACTCCATGCTGAGGCACCAGGTGGCACCAGCTGAAGAGATCGATGCAGGATGGATCTTCTGCAAGGAGAAGAAACAGGAGGGTGTCAGCCAGCATCGTGGGCCTTGGCTTAAGGTGAGACTCAGCTCACTGAAGACAAGACCCGGGGGTCCACCTACTGTGGCCCTCTGGGTGAGGTCTTCCCATTGTGTGTCAGGATGATGGGAGACGATTGAGGTCGGGACAGACCATGAGAGCAGAAGGGACCATAGCCATTAGTAACTCATAAACAGATTGAACATGGCTTTTTAATTCACATCTATTTTTTTGGTCAGAGACCAATGTCTGCCTCTCCATCTCCCCAGAGCCTGAAAACTATCAAAGTGGATCATCCGAGGAAAGGAACCTCAAATGAGCCGTGAAGAATTTCCTGGTGAGTTTGCAAAACCATGGAATTCAGACTCAGATCTAGCGAGAGCCTCAGTGCTGGCCAGATACTTCAGGAATTTCATGGGAAAAGAAGATACAAAGGTATAAGTAGGGTGCGAACTGTTTTTGGAATCCATGCACCTGCTCCACGATGCACACTTAACATAAATTAGTGGAAGTGCCTTCATGGATTTTAAATGGGCACCCAGGACCCTTGAACACTCTGCTTCAGGGAGCAAGAGGCCAGCTCTTGCGTAGTTAGGACACCAGCATTTCTGTCCAGCTACCCTATCCCGCATAGGATCCATCTCAGAGCCATTTTGCAAGTAAGGAAGTGTCAATCAACACCCATCCTTTCTCTCAGGTCGTCAGCTTCTCCAGTAAGACAACAGGTGTGATTGCCCACTGGCAGCAGCCCGCTGTACACCCTCGATTCCTACTCCAAAGGGCCTCGGGACCATGAGCTGCGTGTGAAAGGGTGAGTCAGTGCAGACTTTTGAAGCTAGGCTTCAGTCTAACTGTATGAAGGTGCGTGGTGTGCTTGAAAAGATGTAAGTAAAATCATTATCCTTAGCAGCTAGAATTGTTTTCCTCCTTAAGGTGCCTATAGCCTGGATTCAAGTATAACCCCTGTACCAAGCACGGTGTCTTTGCACAGGACCTGCCTGGTCTTCCACCTGGAGGCTACTGTCTCCTCCTCCAGTACCTCTCCTCTCTGCCCTAGAATATGGCTTGCCCAAATCTCAGCCCTATTGCTTTCTGTCAGCTTGCATACTTTGCCTTCCTTCTTCCAGCCTGGATTCTTGTATATACAACTCCATTTTCTGCACCCTGATGAGTCCATTTGCTCTTGTGCCACTGCAGTCCTAGGTACAATAGCTCCCAAGGTCAGGCTCTCCTCCCAGGCACACGGTGGCATTCTCTTTCTCTGCTGGGAATAGTTTTCCTAAGGCTTTGGATGGTTTCTTTGGCACTTGAAGTGTCCATTCCAAGGTTATTTATCAAGAAGACCTTCCTTGACTAAGCATAAAAAGCAGCGAGTTCCTTGTGCTCCCAGGCAGATCGCTGCTGTGCTGTTTACCTACATTTATTAGCATTCAATGCCACTGTGACTACTTATTACCTACCTGTCCTGTGTGAGGCACAATTCGAGAGCAATGGACTTCAGTCTTTTAATTGCTTTATATGCAGCCCTTGAGAGAGTCTGTCATTCAGCTGCTGCTGTCAACTTGGGGATAAAGGTTTTTGATGGTACAGTCTGGAGAGGCTGCTGGCACATGATGTGTGAGACAGGCAAAAATAACAGCACACCATGGAATCGTGTTGGAATCCCTACAGAAGTGAGGTACTAGAGGTGGGTTTAAGAAGATAGTAAGGTAAACACGCCTCTAAACATTTTTTATATTTCCATATTACTTTAAATTATACTTCTGGATAAGGAAACTTTTAAGAAGTTCATAGAAAAACGGAGCAAAAGGTTTTTACTCTGGTACTACAGTTTTTTTTTGCTTGCAAACTAAGTTTGAAAAAAAATCTCCTACATAGTTGGCTTGAGCCTCATGCCGTGGAAGCACTGATGGCTAAAGCAGACTCCTGAAACCATGTGCTAAGTACTCCTTTATGAACAAGCCTTTAGCCCTCCTGACAGGAGAATGGAATCTCAACAGGTGCCTGCTGCTCAAGCTCTGGGGCCCCTGCAAGTGAGGTATGCTGAAATACTGTCGGGGTCGGTCCTCTGATTACTAACACATCATTGTTACAATTCTGCGATTCTTGTCTCCCCACCCTTCGACAGCACACACTGGCTCAGTCTTGCAAACCAACTGAAATGCAGCGTCTGCACGCCACCACCCCGACTGCCGCAGAACCTCCTCTGGCTCTCACTGGCCCGGGACAGCCGCCTTGTCACAGCAGATGAGTCGTGTTCCTCTTCCACCAGCCAGATCCCACTCCTCCACTGCACGTAATCTGAAGTCCTTGTTGACAACTGACAGGTCCGCCACTCCGCCTTGCTGTTTGATGCCTCCCCGTGCCAGGAAGACACTCCGTTGCCATCGTTGCGTCATCACTTTCTTCCCCCCTTTCCTATCAGGTACTCTAACTTGCTCACTTTGACCTTCCACTGCTTTATGACACTATATATTTAATGGCTGATTTGTTATTGCTTTCCTTTGTCCCCCGTGCAGTGCAGCACATGATCTGTTCCTGACTCTTCCACGTGAAATAACCCTTTGGATGCAGTGTTCACCACTGCCCTTCAAAGTAGGCATTACTTTCCAGCCTAGCTACAGACTGTTGGTTATGGATTCAAATCTGTGGTTTTATTTGGGTCCTTGTCTTTCAGATGATAAATGTCGCCGGCCCCTGAAGGAGCAGCTTATTAAATACCTACAACTGGGCAGCCGCATGACACTGCATTGTGTCCAGGAGGTCTGCTTACTGCCCTTTGTTAGATTTTAGAGTCTATATCCGGTGATTTAATTCCATGCACTCTCCAGGACTGGGGTGTTGAAGCTGGGACTTCAAGATCTCAACTACTTGAGCTGTCCCCACTACCTGCTGGGGTCGCGGGGAGTAGAGCTTGTACAAGGTACAAGAACTAGGCTAGTTATAATAATACTCCAGTGTGGAGTGCTTTTCCTAAAGGACTCCTAGAAATGTTTAGTAGGCACTTGCAAGCATTGAAGGAGTCCAGGAACTCAGGGTGCGTTCACAGCATGTTTCATAAACTCTTGCACTTGCTGATTCAGCCCACTGAGCAAGGGGTAGGACTACGGCCTCCCCCTGGCCCACACTGCAAGGTGGCTTTCCTTACGTCACCTCGCAGCTGCCCCACTGTCAGTTGGTGTTGTAGACCAAATCTTTGTCTACAGGATGGAAATGAGGGGAAAAAATGTGACTCTGCTAAAAATATACCTTTCTTCCCCAGGTAGGATTCTTCAGGCTGAGGTAACAGCCCGGAGAAAGCAGGAGGTCCTCCAGGCCCGGGAGGCTGGCTCCATTGCTGTGTAGTAAGCTGCAGCAGGTATTGCTCATTTTCCGACTTGAACTAAAAAGCAGTTACAGTGTGGTGCTGGGCCAAGTGTAAATTTCTGGCAGTGAGTCTCAACTATGAGCTCCTTGAGCACAGTTGCTTACCACACAACGCTGTCCTTCCCCATTTTAAAGTGAAACCTACGGGCTGAGAGTAAGCATTACCATCACAGCCCTGCCAGGCACCATCTACCAGCCTACTCGGCGGGCCCTGCACACTTCCAGGGACACCGTTACTCTCTGCTTGATGTGACTATCCACCCTAGAGTGACGCACAAGCCGGCAGGGTGGACTTGGGTAAATGATCTCTAAAGACAATTGCATTGTTGTGTGAGCTTCTTTACCTTTCTTTTCAGGAGCTGGGCAGAAGTTGGTATTACAGGCTCGCAGCACCGGAGGTTTCTGGTGGAGCAGACAGCTGGAGGAAGGACGCCCCTGGTGGACGCAGTGCACCGATCGGGTCTGCACACCTCCACCGCAGGTGACCGTGCACTGGAGGAGAGGCGAGAAGAGGAGTTCAGGGTGCAGCTGTGGGGTGTACAGTGTGACGGCATCCACCCGTGTCAAGACACAGCCAGGCCCCCCGTGGACGCTACCCCAAACGGGTGAGCCATTGGGTCTCTTTAGAAGGGTTAGGAGACAGCCACGTGACTCAAAGAATGGAGTTCCAGAACTACAGAAGCTCCATAAGAACACAAACCCAAATGCAGTCAGCCCGGGGGAGCTAGGCACAGTGTGGAAGTGATTCCATGCCAGCCCCGTGGGGCGACAGTTAACATGGTGCAGAGCTGTCCCAGATTTTAGACTTGGGGCACATTCCATGGCTTCTTAAAAAGTCAGGAATTTGACATTGCCCTTAAAACAATCATAAAATTGACAACTGTCAAGGCCTGTTATTTTTTTCAGACTAATCCTGAAATGTGTATGTAATGTCTCTAGCACTTATTTTTCTAATATGTAAATATTTGCTTAAAAATATACCAGGGGAAAATGCAACCCTCTGAGTGGACTCTGCTTTTTCTGCTTCTTATCACTGTGTCTCCTGGTGCTGGGGTTTGAGTTCTGGAGTTAGCTCCACTCTGATACGTCCATATGATTGTTAACAACTCATCCAACCCAGGAGCTTCCGACACTGTCTTGGGGAACGGATGGCAGGCCTGCTGGCAACTGCTGCCCGATTCAAGTGTGATGAGTAAAATCACACGATTTTTACCAGTCCACAGCAGTAGTGCCTGGGCCTCTTTGTATCCATGTCCTTCTGGCCATCTGTAGTGTTCACACTGCCCCAAGCAAGGTAAGAAGCTAGGGGGAGAAAACGGAATTTAAAGGGAATTCCATTTCGCGTAAACTATTTCCAGAACCTTCATGCCCGTGAGCAGCACCCCTCACTCTGACCCTTCCATCAGCTGGCTCATGTTTGCTGTGTGCTATGGCACAAGGATCTATTCTGACAGACCTAGCGCCCCTCGCTGCTTGCAGCCAAGACAGACCAAGCTGATGTGAGCACACAGTCTTGCCAGAGGCCTCAGCAAGATGAGTGTGCATAAACTACCGACCCCGCAGCTGGTGTCGTGGCTCTGTGCATGTCTTCTCAGTTTGACCTGTAGGGCCACTTTATGCAAGAAGACAATGCACTTGAAGTACTTAGCACAGAGCCCAAGAAATGATCTGACAAATCCTAGCGCATGATGTAAGAGCCGAGGCGGCTAAGACACGCAGTAGCTTTTCTAAAATACAGAAGCTGACTTTGGTAGGATTAGCAACAGCCAACATTTTTTGTTACTTGCACAAGAAAAGCAGCTATTACTGTGCCAATACTATGAATGTGAAAACAGAGGTTTACAGCACCAGTGGAACAGGTTCAAGAGCTTGAACCCACTGACTTCACTGCCCCCCTTAAGTGTCCACGCACATACCTGCTGCCAGGGGGAGGAGTACCATCCAGCTGGGCGCGCTGGACACGGCCTTCCACGGCAGCTCTCTTCCAAGTCCAGGAGGGGTTTCTTAATGTTGCGACACCTTCGCTCCGGGAAAGTTAGGAGCTTTCCTTGAAAGGTCTTCTCACTGCACGTCATTTCCCTCTTCCTCACACCCACACCACAGGTCGCAGAACACTAAAAAGCCAAGAAAGGTGTTATCAGAGGGCAGAACTCTGCAGCAAAAGCTGCTGAGCAGATGTGTTCCAACAGACGCTCACACCAGGCATGGGCAATCCGCTCATGAGGAGTTCAGAATTACAGCAGCCAAACTGTCACTCTGAAAGGAAATGGGTAGCGTCCACTCATCGGCACCAAGAGTTGAGCTGGGACTGGGAAATACCCAGGGATGTGAGCGGGAGCCCAAAAGAAGATCTACAGGAGGAACAGGTGCCTCGATGGCTGCTCAGGAGAACCTGCGGGCTCTGCAAAGAGCTGAAGATCTATGCTATGGAAGTGGGACACAGACAGGGGCTGAGAGCTCAGAGACTCAGCCCAGTGTGAGGTTGATTAACTAATTAGACTAAGATACAACTCAGCTGTGTAGGGTAGAGTACAAAGAAGGGAGGAGGCTGGTGAACAGGATGAGCATGGCTATTTTAAAGAGCAGTGGGGGATGGCGAGTGGGGCTTGGTGGACTGCTTCAGTCCAGTGCCATGTGGCCAGTGTGCTTCTCCCTTGGTGATGGCTGCCCCACTGCACACAGGCCAGCCAGGCTCAGCCACATCACACAGCCCCAGCTCCTGTCCACAGTATCCAATGACAGGTGATTGAAACCGGGTGAAGGTGTTTCAAACTGACACCTTCAGCCATTCAATCACCTCTTAGAAGACACAGGCCAGCAGAGAGCACAATGCCACACCATCTGCACACAGGCCATGGAGGGAGCGGACGCCTCAGATGCAGTGGGGACAGGCCAGGCACCGCCAGCTCTAGTCAATCTGACCATTCCCCCAACCGTGCACCTTCTGTCTCTTATGGCTTAAGCACAAGAGCTGACTTGACACATGTCCTCTGGATTTAGCTCCTTTTCTTAGGTCTGAAAATTAAAATGCATTTTAAGCCCCAAATGCAGCACTCGCCTTTCCCTCTGCCTTCTCTCTAGATATGCTTACAAACAGCACAAACAGCACATGGCTCTTTGGGGACCAAAGACCCTGCTCCTCTCCATGCCTTAATGACTACACTTTACTCTCCTCCCCCTGTCAAGACAGGTTGTTATTTTACATTGGTTCCCTTCACTCAAATCCATTACTTTTGCCTTCTTTATTTAAAATTCCTATTGGCTCTTTCACATGTATAGGGCATATAAATTCTTTTCCAAAAGTTCACTACAAGATTACCAGCCTGGTTGGATTTTAGTGTGAAACGCTGAAAAGCTAGCTGGGCTGGGCTGAGCTCCTCCAGCCCTGATCTGTTGCCTACTTACCTGTCAGGTTCAGGCATGGATTGTTCCTGAAGTCTGGCTGGGGTGACCCTGAGCACTCCACAGTCATCGCAGCATCTGCCCCTCCTCCCCCTGGTGCCGGATGTGTGCTGCGTGACATTGTGTGTCTTCTCTGTCCCCGGGCACAGGCCCGATCATCATGTGACCAAGCAACCAGGATGGTGGATGCAGCCGCAAGTCGGAGGCACCTGCTGTGTGTGTGTCTGGATGCACAACATTTCACATCCGCTCCAACAGCGTGCCCACACACGTACCTCGCTCCACGAAGAGGGGACCCACTGCAGCCGGTTGTTCTTGGGACAGCGCCCCAGCACGCAGCCCTCCTGTGCCTCAGGCCTTGGGGCGCCAGCACACAGGGTCTCGGGCAGCGTGTCAGCCGCAGAGCTTTTGCACACAAGCTCTCTCCTCCTCACTCCTCGCCCGCAGGTCTTTGAACACTAGAGAAAAAGGAAAAAAAAATTATTTGCATGCTTCGAGTTGTCTTCTCCTGGTAGATGCTGAGAACATGCTAATGCCATGTCTGTACACTTTTAAATAGTCACTTGAACCAAATTCCCAACGCAGCTCCTAGGAGCAGGAGGAATCACCCAGATGCCCAGAACATTCTGTGTCTTGTCCCTAATTT